CACGTAAGACATGTCAAATACGGGACGGTACAGAAGTTTGAGGCGGCTAAACCCAACGTATATTGTACATGCTACAAAAATAGGGAGCGAATCAACCAGAGCGAGAAACGATGCAGCAAGGCACTCACCAAAACGCTTTGTGTCAACGGATGTGCCGTTAGTAGAACAAGTGGACGTTTTGAAGGTTAAAACAACGATAAAATCCAATGATGCAAAATACTGAAAGAGCGTGTTTTCCGGTACACTACAATGGAATAGGCTCAGAATCCTTCACCAATTCAAGTATCTAAGCAGGTGTATTCCTGCATAACACGAGTGACCGAAAATGTCTGCTGGAGCACCCTGAATAATTGTTTTTGAGCTGCTACCATATGGACACATTTGGGATGAATTTCGGTCATTTGGAAATGTTTTTCAGCGCAACGTAAACGTATACCATGAACACATATTTTCTGGTTACAAATGCCGTCAACAGTAAGCCTGAAATCTATTTCTAAATTGTAATTACGCGACTTGTGTGTTTCAGAAGTCACTCAACAGCTATATTTTGTCTACCGAATGGAAGGAGGCTGTTGTCTGCCCGATTTTCAATTGCGTTGACAAAAACCTACGTAGGTCTTAGCCAATATACCGGCTAATTTCAGGCCTTTCAGCTTGACTAGCGTGGTCGTTAAGTTACTTGAAAAATTAGTACGGAATACAGTGGAGAACCATTTAAATAGGTTTTACCTGTTTTGCGTCGAGCAACATCGTTTTCGCAGAGGATTTTCGTGTCAGACGAACTTGCTGGTAGCTCGTGAGAGCTGGGCTGAAGCCGTAGACAGTGGACATGCGGTGCATGTAGTGTTCATTGACTTCGCCAAGGTCTTTGACACTGTCACTCATTCGCGACTCTCACTGAAGTTGTGGTCGTATGGAATAGCTGATCGCGCTCTCCAGTGGGTGTCAGCTTTTCTGGATGGACGGGAACAGTGTATTCGTGTGGGAAGCTGTCTTTCGTTTCGACAAGCTGTGCTTAGCGGCGTTCCGCAAGGCTCTGTCCTAGGTCCGCTGCTTTTTTCTGTCTACTTGAATGACTTGCCGGAGGAGCTTGAGGTGCCGTCGCTCTTATTTGCTGATGACCTAAAGCTCTGGAATATTGTTGAAATCCATGGAGGTCCTGTGACTCTTCAACGGGCTCTAGATAGACTCTGGGAATGGTCTGTCTTGTGTTTGCTGCCCATAAACCGGGCAAAGTGTTCAGTGCTGCGTATCGGTGCGTCTGCTTCCTCCACAAGTTAAGTGCTCGATGGGAGTTAACTTCCTCACGTGACTCATCAGGTTGATCTAGGTGTCGTCCACTGTTCCACACCACACTCTGGCGACAACTGGAAGAAGGCGGCTAGTAAAAGGTTCCGGATGTTGTGGTTTATCCGTCGTTCTTTTGGGACCCTAACCGCTGATGTGTTTGTGAAGTTTTTCTCAGCGTTTGTGCGACCCCACCCAGGATATTGCGTCCAGGCCTGTCCACCATGCCTTGTCCGGGACAAAATTGCCCTAGAAAGGGTGTTGCGTGTCGGTATTAGGTTGGTCAAGGGATTACGAGGGCAAACGTACCCCGAACACCTACTTAGTTTGGGAATGCAGTCAATGCACTATCGAAGGATTAGAGGGGACCTAATCCTACCCCACCGTATTTTGACTGGGAAGTTGGCCCTGATTTGTTCATGCTATTTAGTCCTGCTAGATTATCTGGTCTTCGCGGGCATTGTATGAAGCTGGACAAACCGCAGTTCGATCGAGTTAGAGCGGAGACACGGTTATCACGTCGAGTCATCAAGCGCTGGAACCTGCTTCCAGAACATGTTGTCAAGGAATCTATGGTTAAGGGGTTTGAGCGTCAACTAGACGCCCTTGGGTGGCAACACGAAACCTTTCCTTTTTCCTGACTAATTCCCATCTTCATACTTCGATTCTATTTTCCTTTACTTTTCCTCGCCATTGGTATTATTCCCTTCTTTTAACTGATTTCCCCTACTCTCTTACCTTCGCTTTTTCTTCCTCTCTTACTTACTTCACGTAACTGACATAGCTGGGACAGCTAATGTAAGGAACGTGGGCATTAACTTGGTAGACCAGGGTGTTTTTCGGGGTTTTCCTTTTAGACCTTTCAAGAAGTCGGAGCACCCCTATAAACTCTTGGATCGACGACCCGCTCAAGATGGAACACTTACGGGATTCATCTTATCGTTCCAGTCCCATTTGAACTTGAACTTGATACTCTAGCCGTAAGGGTAGGCCGAAAATTTTGTGTGTGACCGAACGTCGTCCTGAATGTGTCCAACTGTAATGGCCTAATTTATGAAATTCGTCACTCATGGTGCACAAATGGTCAATCACGTTGACCGAAACTATGATTTAACTAAAAAGTAAAGACTTACAGGTAGAGAATGGCGGTTTTAAAGATGTATAATATTTGACAGCAGATTTAGGCATAAGACGGTATTTACTTTCATATTCACTTTTTGCCTCTACGAGTGACCAAAAACGCCTAAATGGGACAGTTGACTCTCCTTCTTTGCTGACAGGGTTAGCGCCTGTGGAATAGTAGATGTGATCACCAACAGTATAGGAAAAGTTATATGCACTTTTGCCAATCTCCGGCGGCGTGACATGGTTCTCGCTCTGAAGGGCAGAGTTTACAATGCAGCCGTCCGTTTAGCTCTCCTGTATGGTTGCGAAACCTGTCTAGCTATGGCTGCCTTCGCAACTTAGATCTTATCCGGTTGAAACACCGTGTGAACAATGAGCATGTTTGCTCCATCGTATTTAGTGCAAGAAAAACGAGTGACCCGCTCAGCACCGTTATATCACGGACCAAGCTCTGTTTGCTGAGTCACGTGTTGCGCATGCCAGCACACCGACCCCCGTGACGTGCACTGTTTGCGCGACCGGCGTCTGGATGAAGGAAGAGAGAGGACTAACTGATGACTTGGTCAAGGGGAATGAAGACACACATTGAACTTGGGGTTTGTGGTGTCTCCTTGCTGCCGGGTTGGAGCCCGAAAGTGGATGAACACGTTTAGTTTGAGACACTTGTTTACATGACTAATAGCCGACCTCAGTGATGTGTGTGTTGTGAGTTTCTTTGCCCACAACAATGCAGATTTGCTTCTCCCGCCAACTACGGTCTCACATATGATGCATAATATGATACTGTTGAATACTGCCTCTTGAATACGTCAGGTTCTAACAATGTGATACCAACTCTCCTAGACGGATGAACGAACGAGACTCAGAATTATTTCTCACACAGCACGGTAACTGACAATCTCGAAGTCTGTGGGTTCTCGGGACTTAGCCGCGAAAGATTTAATTCACGCGAGTCGAACGGGTTCCTAGACCGAACGCAAAGTTTCTACGCACGATTTCCCAACCCAAGACTGAATCAAGAACAAGACAGGCCTTTGCCACAGGCGCTTTTACTGGCCAAAGCTAAGACGATTCTAGCGTTGTACAGCCTCAATTTTATATCACGAAACGGTGATGAAGGGGGGTTTTCCTTGGAAGGGTTTGCGTAAGCAAACCCTGGAAACAAGAAACATGGTTTTATGTAAATGTGCAAAGTCCGTAAACTGAGCAGAAATGTTGGAAGTTTGGCGAGAGTTGTCCGGAAATATGAATGTTGCTTGGATACAACAATGCGTGTTTGGTTGGAAACAAGACTGTTTCTGGGTGCAAAGGCTAAACATATGTGCATGTTACACGAGTTGGAAGGCTGATTGAACGTGTGCGTTTTGTCTGCTCTGAGTACATGTGCAATTGAGTGAATCGAGTTTTCAGCCTTCCGTAATTTAAGCCTTTAATAATTACAGGGACATTGGGTCCCCATAACAGGTACGAAGCATTATGTTAAGATTTTTGTTTTTATTTCGAATTCTGGAATATTCATGTAGCTTATCATTTTTCTTGCGACAGGATAGCTGAGGTGTTTTCACCTTTTTGCTAACCTGTAATAAGGATGGTATGACACGGCCTCAAGTCAATTGTAGTCAACTTTGATCTCCGCGTTTGTGACATTTCCTTAAAATATATTTTCTGACGTCTTGAACCTATTGCGGATTTTTTGACAACCAATTTATTTCATATGCTCATTTATTGAAGAGCTTTGTCGGCATATCTGTATGCATAATTCGATTTATTTTATTTGTTCTTGTCCTTTCAAGTGACTGACTGTTGCTTAATATCCTCGGTGTGGCTGCGCTCGATATGCATGTTGACCAGGCGCCTACCTGACTATTACCCACTACCTCGTCCATACTAGCTCCAGGAGACAGTTGGTCGTTGCTGGAGGGTACGGGGGGCACGGTCCTTGTGGCCGTGTTAGACTTGAAGAGTAGTTCAATGCACTCAGCGTGGAGCGGACTACGGTCCAGCCACCGCCTTGTGTGCGATTGATTCCCAAATACAGCGTGCTTGTGTTTGCCTGTGAAGGAGTGTGGGCCGGCTCAGTTGATGAAACGTGACTCCTATCCGCATGCCTCCCGGTCTTATTCCTTCGGGTTTACACTGGATATGGTGTGTGTGGCTGGAGCTGTGGGTGGTGCAGCGCAAGCCATCCATGGTCCTTCTGTAGGCGCAGGCGTCTTGTGACTGTCCCCATGGAGGCCGCAGTGACAGGCAAATCCGGAAACGGATGCCGCCAACCATGACACTCCCACAGCTTCGAAAGTAGGTCAATCGGCTTAATCTAAAAGTTTATACCTTTCAGAACCTTCTCTATTCCATTGACACTGTATACGAATTATGCATTTTATACTGATTGTACTGCCCGTGCTAATATTCCGGTCGTTATCAGATACCTACACTTCAGTGTGTGCAAATATGCCAATTTTTACGTTTTGTTTCTCGAGTTGAACGGAAGCAACACCTAGTTGCACCGCAGCTTCACGTTTACTTTAGCAGGAGTCCTTCTTAATTCCTTCATTGATTCTCGTTGTTTTTACTTTGGATAATTTATAGCCGCGTTCACTGGTTTAGACCGATGCAACTGTCGCCTCAGTCGCTTCCAGAAGTGCATCTCAAAAATGCAATCATCCATTGTCTTCGATGAACACGAAAAACAAAGACGCCTGCTACAGTCGGAACCATGGTATCACCATTCCTTATCTCGAAAGGTGGCTGAGAGTTTGGTGCGCGTGGGCGGTGATTTCCTTATTCGTGAATCTTCTCGGAATCCTGGCGTGTTTGTCCTGACAGGGAAATGGAACGGGCGCCCATTTCATTTGTCAGTTAATCGTTCTGAAGAAGTGATTCACTCGACACTGGTGCGGTTCACTTATTTCTTTGAAGAACACAAAAAGGGCTCTGTCATTGAGTTGGTACGCTTTCACTGGACAAATCAAGTCCCAATGACTAGGAAATCTGAGGCTATTATATGTCGACCTGTGTACTGCACTCGTGGCTCTTTCGAAGTAGGTGAGCTTCATACTTGTGAAGTATTTCATGTTTCCTAGCGTTGTTTCATCCACTTCCTTTGAGCAAATCGAGACATCGAGGCATTCTTGCGCGCGTTTCTCGCACCAATAGTCCTGGTTTATCAGCGTCGATGAATGATTTGACTGGTCAGACAAGCTTTGTCGAAAATCTGATAGATCGGACTGGAACAAGTGTGCAGGATCTGTCCAATGGGACTTATGTTGATCCGAACCTTTTACTAACAAACCTGACCCAACTTGGTCAAGAGGTATCTGACAACGAGCTGTCCTTCAATCGCCTTTCATTAAATTCAGCTGGATCACAGGTTGGTCTCTTGTGTTTTCTCTCCTATGTCGACTCGCTTTTTGTCGGTGTGATGGTCAAGTAATTGAAACGTGTTATCCGTATACTTGTTGTCAAGCCACTCTATACTGTCGCACATTCTGAGTCACTCCTTGGCTCTACTGGCACGCACGCACTTTGGTGATTTCACCTAGAGGAAAATCTCTTTGATTACCCACCTTGCTAGCTTTCAATGTTGTCCGGCATTCACTTTCTCATTCACGATCCATTCACCGAGGCGCAGTCAATCCAGTTGCCACGACACGTCGCCAAGATATTTACGATAGCGACAGATTGCAGAAGTATTTTCGTTGCACTCGTTGTGTGTGTGTGTGGGGGGGGGGGTTTGCGATGCGCAATCTCAATGCGCACTGAGATTCTCATTGCAGTGCACCTTGGTCAAATCGGTCACTGGTGTAGTGACTGATGAAACAGCCGGATATTGGGTATTACCCGTCCGAAAACACTGCACTCCATGGCGCGTTTCGACATTGTTTGATTTTATCAAATGGAGATAACAAGCAACGATGATGTGTACAGTTGAGTGCCAGGCGTGGATAATCAAGCCTTTTCTGCACTCCTGTTCGCTTCTAACCGGAAAGTGTCGAGAAGCACTCAGGCATCGAAATGCTGATTGAAACCGCTACCCATTTAGCTGCCGAGGCACGACGAACATTTGTCACCATGGCTAATGACTAATTGCATGGCTCATTTTTAAGCACTGGTTGTGTGAATGAATTGCGACGCGTAAATTTAACGTGAAGTGCGGTTCGCATTAAGTGAATCTTGGTCAATCCGATCAATGGGATCTTACTTGATGGAGCGGATGAATATTGGATTTACCGGCCTCGGAAACACTAGTTTCGAAGTTATTTGAGATTGCGCGTCGCAATCCACTCACAGAATGTGTGCTTCAACATAACCCATGCAATCAGTCATTAACCGCCGTGCCAAGAGCTGCCCGCCGTGACCCGGTGGCTTGGTGATAGATGTTTTGGCTAACACGCAAAAGCGGCGCCAGGTTCGATGCCTGTTGTCTATACCCGACGGGATCAAATATTTTCGAAACTAGTACTGGAGAGCAGTGTTTTCGAGACGGGTAACACTCAGCAATAATGACAGTTGCACAGGAGGAATGAGAAGGGAATAAGATCATTCCGTCCACAGTGATCAAAAACTGTAAGCGGTTTTCGATTTTTAATTAGGTTGCCAAACCATTAAACTGAGGTGAAACAATCTACTTCACTCGCCAAAATGATTTTGGTTCTCAACGGGTCTACTCGAGTCCTTTAAATTTTTGGAATGTTATAATAAATATACAAGAGTAACTGCACCAGTTCACTTACGAAGTGGCCCCTCCTTTTTCATCATTTATGGCTTGTGTTCGCATTTACTTTGGCTGATAGTTACCAACACAAATTACCGCTTTAATCTTCAACATGTCGATCTGCTTACTGCCGGCCCGTAGCCTAAAGGTAACGAGCTTGCCTTGTAATCTGACGGCGCGGGTTCGAGCTTGCGTAGGAGCAGGACGACCCTCGCAGTATCTCTAGCCCAGGTGCGACTGTTCGTGGTTGCACGGTAGCGAAGCGTCAGTACTGCGTACCGGCGTACTGCTGATGCCCCCTTTTTCTACAATATGCTTACTTAATAGACTATATAGTCTATAGCGGGTTCCCCAAATTCAACTATATAATCTGTTTACTCATTAAAGACTTGCATCCTAGAAACACATCCTCTCGGTCATAAAACGTAGGGGTTCAGAAACCACCTCCCACGGTCATCACTCCTGCGGGTTAGTAGCCGTTTGCAGGTCCTTGTATTGTTATTGCTGTCTATATTGAAAGTCACCGGATTTTCCATTTTGTTTTGTTTATTTCAAACTTCTCTTGGGACAAAAGCGCAAAACGATATTGCTTGGTTCGTTTTTTCTCTCATTCGTCTGAGGTTCTTCCGCCAACGTTAGTCGTCCCACTGGATGCTGACAACCCCAAGCTGTCTTCTTTAAACCGGAAGCAGATTCGTTACGTCCAGATGCACGAATCTCCGTCGATCGCCTCTATGTTGACTGATAAATTCGACATTAACCGTTGTTTCGAGTGCGGCATGGAATCTGGAGGGTGTTATCACAAACATTGTTGTGGTTCTGCTACAGGTGGTCTAACACATGATCTTACTCTGCCGTTGGCTGACAAACTGGTCTCTCACGTTGGACCTGTTCACCGCGCGCTGTCCCCTGGTGTTTGGAAACGGTTGAGTCTGTCGTTTAGCACCCGTTCCTTTGTGCCGTTCAACTATGCCCGCCATCTAACGGCAATCAGTTTACGCCTGCTCACGTTGCTCAACTGTTCGCGTATGGCGGAGGCCACCGCTGTTTCCACTCCTTTCCTGTCTTCTTCAGCCCAAATTAGAGAACACATTCTGGTTCGGTGAGTTTTGTTGTTCCTTTTCCTTGAATTCGTCTTCTTTCTGTTCTTATGGATTTCCTCAGTCTGGCAAACACCTACTATAACGGAGACCTAAAACCTAACAATCAAGTAGATCGTTGCCCCGGTATGTGATGTAATATGGAGACTATCGTTCGCTTTGTTCCTCGGTTTCAAGAGTGCGCTCGGCTGCGGTCACCTCTGCCCTTTTCAATAGCATCATCCGGAAAGGTGTTCCACTTAACTGAGTGCAACGTTTGTGTACTTTGTATTTGATTCTCTCTGGTTTTGTCAAGAGCTAAAACGGATCATCTAGTACATTTCCGGTAACGAGCGGCTTTCGCCACTGCTATCCACTTCTATGTAACTTCTTGGTAAACTTCATCATGAATTGTTCCCCACGTGGAGGAAAGCTGGTTGATTTAGATTATGCGAATTACATCATTTTGCTTTTCGACAGTGATCCCCATCCTATTTTATTGGAATAAACCTTGGCCTCTCTGGTTTGAGGATCTGAAGCATCTTCAAGCCTGATCATCGTTGCCTGGGGAGCATAGCTGGCGGCGGATTTAACAAGCGTACTCGCAACGATGATGTGCATAGGCGAGTGCTGGGCATTGATAATCAGGCGTTTACTGCACTCGTGTTCGCTTCTAGCCGGAATGTGTCGGAAAGCGTCTAGAGGTTCCAGAGATTGCGTAGGCGCCCACTGTCTAGCTTGGTGGTCATATTTACCGCTCGAAAACATGTCTGATGCTGCTAACATCCGATGAACGTAAGGCCAATGACCATCAGCTGTGTTCAGTGAGCACTTACTCAACCCGCATGACAGCGCAGTCTGATACGCATTCAGTTAGCTGGTGTCCTTGCGCTCAGGGTTGCCGCAAGCGTCTGCCGAAGCAAAATGGTAGATTGGCATATACAAGTGCGTGATCGGAGTCCACGCGCGTGCTCCAACTTGAGCGACAGTTTCGGACACAGCCTATCCAGTGGTAACTGCTATAGACGTGGTTGATTTGTGTCCATGACTGGTCCGAGGCTGGTTTGCGCCATGTCACTCTTTTAAGGATGCTGTATCGGAAGTTAATGCTCACGAGAAATAGACCAGCGCCCTCACCCAGGTGTAACAACCACTCATTACGGCAGCATACGCCTTGTTGGCCGCTGAGATGCAGCCAACAAAGGGACAGTTTTCAACTGGGCGTTCAGATCACCAGCGAGCACCACAGTATCCGTATTTCTTCTGTAAAAAAGAAGCGTGTTCAGTTGATGATAGAAGTAATCTCTCAACGAGTCCGTGCCACAGTTTGTGGGTCGTGGGTAGCATTGACAAACACACACTATTTATACTTGCGTGGTTTTAGATCCGTGAACGAGTTGGTCGATCTGGCGGCGCACACCTGACTGTTGATTGGGAACCAATCGATCAGGTAGCTTCAGTCCGGGACTCAGAACAATACCCATACCGGCTTGACTGACATTTAAAGTTGCTTCATCTCTAGAAAGGCACCGTCAGTGTCACATATGAAAGATCGCAGCGTGGTTACGGAGCTTCGAATCTTGCAATCGTATTTCCGATAAACAGCGGATTTCGATCGTTAGAGTCCGTTATGTCCGGATAAATGTGAGGATCGAGGCTTCAACTAAACGCAGATGAACTGGTATTGGCCGCTTGGTTGGACATGAACTTGTCGACATGGCAGGAGTGACACCACGCGCGTGCGTGAGTCGAAACTAGAAGACAAACGCCCATCGAAGCAAGGTGGTGAAGAGCCAAGTATTTGGGGTGGCTTGATAACAGGAGATAAAAGTAAAGTTGGAACAGGACGAGAACGATGCAAATCGTAAGCATGAGATTAAGAAGGCAGGAAGGTCTGAGCCAGTAGCATCCTTACCCCTATCCATCCTGCTCGATACAACGGATAGAGTGCCGTTCATTATACTCTGAGACCCCCAGAGCATCGGGAAGTTGTTTCAAGAGAAATTCATTGTATTGCGTAGGCAAAATTCTGTCAGGTTCCTCAGGCCTCCTTTATAGGGGAACCATTACGGTCCTCAACCAAAGCCTTTGGTCCAAAAACCTGACTGATAGGCAGCGGAATTTTGTCAGTGGACTACAGAGAGTCCGTTTTAAAGTATAGAGAGCCATGCTCATTTTAACCCCTAACCTGGGAAACCAGGAGACTGAGTTTGTCTGGCGTCTAACCACTGATCAACCTGATACGAGTGGCTCTGAAGGTGCGAAACATTCCACTCACCATAGTTTAATCCATCGTTAAAACATACAAACCACCGCCTCGTTATGGTGCATTCTCGTCGCGATTGTCGAGTAGTCAGACGATAACGACCACGTAATCTGAATCCTAACTTTTCTCCAAGCAAGCGCTCTATTCCTTCATCCTTGGACATGGTGAGGGAATTGGACGGCGCAGATGAAAGTCGCTGGTCCTAACGGTGTCCAAAACCCGCCGTGTACTGTGATGCGACCTGAGGTTTTAGTATGATACATTAAATGTCCACGTATTTAATGGGCTCACCTTTTTGCGAAAGCATGTTAAGCGGACCGATCGGCCGCAGCTAACGCGCTCTTACAGTGCAGTGCTGTTTGGTCTTCTGTACATACGACTTCACTTCAGTGCCTACAACTGGGTATACACATGGTCTATGCAGCCCCATAGCTTGCTGCATATATATATATATATATATATATATATATATATATATATATATATATATATATATATATATATATATATATATATATATATATATATATATATATATATATATATATATATATATATATATATATATATATATATATATATATATATATATATATATATATATATATATATATATATATATATATATATATATATATATATATATATATATATATATATATATATATATATATATATATATAACAACATCTGGTTCCGGATTTACCTGTTACTGCGGCCTCAAGGGGGACAGCCACAGGACCCATGCGTCTACAGAGGGACCATGGATAGCTTGCGCCGTACCACCCACGGCTCCATCCACACACCCCATATCCAGTGTAGACCCGAATGAACAAGACCAGGAGGCATGTGGATGAGAACCATGTTTCATCAAAGCCGGCTCACACTCTTTCAACATGTACAGGTACTGCAGCATTCCTCCCTAATTGGGGAATCATGCGCACCAAACGTACACAAGGCGGTGGTTGGGCGGTAGCCCGTTGCACACTGATGCAACTGCTCTTTGAGCCTAGCACGGTCACGAAGACCGTGTACCGCACCTTTTCTAGCAGCTATCAACTGTCTCCAGGAGCCAATGTAATCGAGGTAGCGGTTTTTTCTACAAGTAGAGACTGCTAACATTTACGCCAATCACAGCCAGGCAGTGCATATCACACGGGAAATATAATGTCAAGCGAGCCTTTCCGACAGTCAGCTGAGTTTGGCCAAACTGAGACGACAAAGCAGATAACATGCATCGTTAGCCTCAGTCTTGTAGCATAGTCACGAATTACGTTACAAGCATATTGGGGACGTCATTTCGGAGCAAAAGGCTTAGTACCCACGATCTGTCGAGGCTTCCAAAAGCACTGGTATACTCAAGAAACAGGAGCCGTATGACCATGCATTTTTATCCAATGCAGCTGCAATAAAATGCATATGATACGAATGGCATCCCGTGTAAAGCGCTTTGGCTTGTATGCAACCTGTTCGATATCTGTAAGATTGCTTGTGATGCGTGAGATAAGTAATTTGTCAAGCATCTTCAACAGTACGGAGGTGCTGTTGGTCGATACTTTCGTGACTTCTTCTTAAGCACTGGTATTATTCTGGGTGCTTCCCAAATATCGGGAATGGTACCAGTTGTCAAACGTCGGTTGAAAATCTGTACTAGGTTATTTTAATGCGTCCGCGCACTCTCTTAACGTGATTGCTGACAGGGCCATTAGTCTTATTTGAGTTCTGTATCTTGAGTTCTCTGTGAACACTGTTAGGATCAACTAAGATGAGACGATCAGTGATGTGGAAAAAGGGAAGGGAAATGTATCAGATGATGCGAATTTAGGCTCTGCGTTGAGATTGTTCACATCCACAGTGCTGAATGGGCTACGAGAATGTTTACCAGAGAGCTACTTCAAGAGCGTCTGCAGATCACGGCAACTGTGGTCTCAATGTGTAAACAGTCTAACCTTCCTATGTCACCTTTTTAAGCTACAAATTATATTTAAAAGTCTGCTCGAAATGACCCATCTAATAAGCTTCCTCTTTATTCGCTACAGTTGTTTGAGCACTGAGGATAAACATCTTTCCTTAAATAGATGACCACCATAGGGCAATACAGACTGAAATCGAAATTTATATATATATTGTGAGGTGCTCTCATTAAGCTGGAAAGTCCTCATTAGCAAAGATCGAGAAATGAACTTATTAGTGTCGGTTTCACCTTTGCAATGCCTTCTGTTTGCGTCTCGCCGTTGAACGGTTATGAATGCCCTTTCTGTCAGCGGCAACGTAGCAGTAAATCTTGGGCAATCTTCACGACGCAGCGCTGATTTATCAAGGGGCACCTCTGTGTGGAAAATAGGGGATATGTGTATGTATTGACAACAGTCTAACAAATAGACATAGTCAAACAAAAGCATTGAAATCTAGGAAGAATTCAGGTTTAGTCACCACTTCATCATTATGGCACACTAGCTGAGGTGAGCAACACACTTCAGCTATTGTGCCGTAAGAACGGAGCTGTTTTTTTGCACACGCCATTTTTCTTCTTTTTCCTTTTCAATTGTGAAGCATTAAACACCTAAATCTAAACAAGTTTGTACACGAATCTTCCACTTGTTTCGACTACATGCCATATCCTGCATTATCACTAACCATCGGCACTCTTCGTCCTTTGGTCCCCGACCAGGCAGGCTTGTGGATCTAGCGGCATCAAGACGTGAAGTCAACGATTTCATATACTGACGCCAAGTGGTCGGCTGACCACCCCGCAGT